AAAAGAAAGATATTATGTGACATGAAACAGGTACAAAAGACATTGTTAAGTGCTTTTTATACAAATTTAGTGAGGTCTTTATTATGGACTTCAACTTTTATGTTCCAAGCTCCTCACATTTAACTTGATCCAAACAGGGCGTTAGACGAGGGTCATATACACAACACATTTTGCACATATTGTATGAGATAATCTTCTTTTCTGTAGATTCAGAGTTCACAAATGAGTAATACAACTGGATTGAAGCATAGAAACACAAATATTTACACATAAAAACCTGTTGGATAGAAAGTCAGAATGCCACTTATGCATCAAAATTGAAAAAGCTATGAAATGCTTATTTTGACCATAAAATGCCCAAATTGGTCATTTTTGCAGAAATTCTATGAAATAAAAGTTAAAATACTTTAGTTTTATGCTATTTGACAAATTGACACCATCAAATCATTCGGGGAAGTTGCCAAAGTACAGATTCTATATTTCCTGATTTCACCTCTTAGGTCCGAGTACACAGTTATTTCGTAGTGCATTTCTTTTAGACAATAAATGAAAATTAAAAAAATCCCACCTGCGCTTTCTCAATAATATTTTTATAGTGTGCTGTACTACTTTTGGGACAAATTATATCAAAATTATAGAAAACTTCATCGGCTCTAACTCAAAATATGGACAATTTTATGTTAAGGGGGTCTTCAAATCTTTTGACAGCTCCCGAAGTGCTAATTTTTAACATTTTTCAGCTGGACCAAATCACTACTTTAAAATTCATGACCCAAATTTTTTTTCAGTGTCATTTCACCCCCCTACTTGCTATTTGAGTCATAAAACATGGAGAAATAAATTTGGAAGGGGTATAAAAAAAATTAGCAAGTAACACACTGTCCACACTAGGGACTATATTCGTGGACAAAGAAAATCAAAGGACGATAACTGTGTACTCGGACCAGTTGGCTGTTTCACAATATTTGACACAGGTTTGTAACAAATTGAATGAAAAATCAACTTGAATAATGCCTATAAACTGGTAATTTTTCTGAAAGAAATATATGTCTCAAGAAGGAAAATAACTTCTTCTGGTTTTCCTGTATTGAATAAAAATATAGAAGCACACACATGTTCTTTTCCATTGCTCAGAAGAATAGTTATGTTGAAAATATAAAAGATTACACAAATAATCAAGAGGTTTAGGTCTTCATTAATTGCAACAATGAGAATATATAATTATTACCCCAAAAAATTGGTGAAATTTCCTTATATTTTAGAATAAAATGTTTTTAGCTCACCTGGCCCAAAGGGCCAAGTGAGCTTTTCCCATCACTTGGCGTCCATTGTCCGTTGTCCTGCGTCTGTCGTCCGTAAACTTTTACAAAAATCTTCTCCTCTGAAACTACTTGGCCAAATTTGACCAAACTTGGCCACAATCATCATTGGGGTATCTAGTTTAAAAAATGTGTCAGGTGTCCCGGCCAACCAACCAAGATAGCTGCTATGGCTAAAAATTTTCAGATGAATCTGACAACCTGTTGTTGGGTTGCTGCCCCTGAATTGGTAATTTTAAGGAAATTTTGCCGTTTTTGGTTATTATCTTGAATATTATTATAGATAGAGATAAACTGTAAACAGCAATAATGTTCAGCAAAGTAAGATCTACTAATAAGTCAGCTTGACCAAAATGGTCAGTTGACCCCTTAAGGAGTTATTGCCCTTTATAGTCAATTTTTAACAATTTTTCGCAAATTTTTGTAAACTTTTACATAAATCTTCTCCTCTAAAACTACTAAGACAAATTTAACCAAACTTGTCCACAATCATCATTAGGGTATCTAGTTTAAAAAATATGTCCGATGACCCCGCCTGTGAATCAAGATGGCCAACATGGCTAAAAAAAAGTACATAGGATAAAATGCAGTTTTTGGCTCATATCTCTGAAACCAAAGCATTTAGAGCAAATCTGACAGGTTAAAATTGTTCATCAGGTCAAGATCTATCTGCCCTGAAATTTTCAGACCAATCAGGCAGCACGTTGTTGGGTTGCTGCCACTGAATTGGTAATTTTAAGATAATTTTGCAGCTTTTGGTTATTATCTTGAATATTATTATAGATAGAGATAAACTGTAAACAGCAATAATGTACAGCAAAGTAAGATCTACAAATAAGTCAAACATGACCAAAATTGTCAATTGACCCCTTAAGGAGTTATTGCCCTTTATAGTCAATTTTTTACAATTTTCATAAATTTTGTAAATTTTTGTAAATTTTTACAAAATATTTTCCACTGTAACTACTGGGCCAAGTTCATTATAGATAGAGATAATTGTAAGCAGCAAGAATGTTCAGTAAAGTAAGATCTACAAACACATCACCATCACCAAAGCACAATTTTGTCATGAATCCATCTGTGTCCTTTGTTTAATATGCACATAGACCAAGGTGAGCGACACAGGCTCTTTAGAGCCTCTAGTTTGCCTGAGTTTTCCTTTTTTTCAGAAACTTGTTCATACATAGATTAGATTGCTATGATATAATTTGTTTTTGATAAAATAAGAACCATTCAAACTTATTTTGTCACTACACATATAATATTAAAAGTGAAACTTTTTTATTTATAAACTTTATTAACCATTGAACAGTTTTTAGAGGTCTGTAAAAAAGCTTGAAAACATTGTGGACACTACATTTATTTTCCAATTGCTTAGACATATTGTTATGTTTAAAATATGAAAGATAACATCAATGATTAAGGGTTTTCAGGTCTTCATTAATTGCAAGAATGTCAGTGTATAATTATTATCTAAAATAATGGTGATATACCTTATATTTTGGATAAAATAAGAACCATTCAAACTTATAATGCCCCCGCCATAGCGTTGGGGCATTAAGTTTTACCCTTGTCCGTCTGTATGTACCTACGTACATACGTACGTCCGTTGTCATATGGTATTTTGAACCCCCTAAAAAGTGAACCCGAGGTCAAATACCATGCGGTATAATAAACTCGGGGTCATTATACCCCATGGTATTTTGACCCCTGGGTCATTTTTCCCATACACAATGCTTATAACCACAAAAGACAGATCAAGTTTGAATTTTGGTGGAGTCACTTTAACCGTTCTAGAGTTATGCATGCCCCTTTATAAATGGAAAAATTGCAAAATTTTTAGTTTCCCTTCTCTAACTTAAGTTTGCCTCAACCAAATGTTATGAAACTTATACACAATGCTTATTACCACAAAATACAGATCAAGTTTGAATTTAAGTGGCGTCACTTTAACCGTTCTAGAGTTATGCCCCTTTATAAATGGAAAAATTGCAAATTTTTTAGTTTCTGTTCTCTAACTTAAGTTTGCCTCAGGCAAATGTTATGAAACTTATACACAATGCTTATTACCACAAAACTCAGATCAAGTTTGAATTTTGGTGGCGTCACTTTAACTGTTCTAGAGTTATGCCCCTTTATAAATGGAAAAATTGCTAAATTTTTATTTTCTTCTAAATATCAAGTAATTTTTAAAATTGGAGTTATCTTCCTTTGTCCATGATTATAGTTGAATCAACTACAATCAATGCTTTATACAATGCAATGTTTAATTTTGACTTCCACTGATAAAACAAAGATCAAGTTGAATTTGGGTAGTGTCACTTTAACTATTATTGAGTTATGCCCCTTTATAAATCGAAAGATTGCAAAATATTTAGTTTCCATTCTGTAACTTAAGTTTGCCCCAACCAAACATTATGAAACCTATACACAATATTCATTACCACAAAACTAAGATCAAGTACAAATTTTTTGTTTCCGTTTTCTAACTTTAGTTTGCCTCAACCAAATGTTATGAAACTTATACACCATGCTTATTACTACATAATACAGATTAAGTAAGAAATTTGGTGGCAACACTTTTACCATTCTTGAGTTATGTCCGTTTATAAACATAAAAATTGCTGAATTTTTAGTTTCCATTCTCTAACTTTAGTTTGTCTCAAACAAATGTTATAATACTTATACACAACCGTTCTAGAGTTATGGGTGTTTACAAATAGAAAAAATTGCTGAATTTTTAGTTTCTGTTCAGTACTTAAGTTAGCCTCAACCAAATGTTATGAGACTTACACATAATGCTTATTACCACAAAACTCAGATCAAGTTCGAATTTGGGTAGCGTCACTTTTACAGTTCTTCAGTTATGTCCCTTTATAACTATATGATATGCAAGTGGGGGCATCATCTGTGTCCACATGTGGACACTATCCACATTTATTTTTTTAATCTGACCTTGAACTCATTTTCATGTTCCATTACCGGTAATTATATTGAAGTTTTTCAGGATTAGTTCAGATGCTATATTAAAGTCATAAGTCTACTATATTTGATGTAAAGAATAATTGTAAGGTGTTCTGACAGGTTTATTCATCTCATATTGACTGGTCAACTCTATATTTATGTGATGAGGTCTGTTTCTAAATTATTATAAAAAATTGAAAACAACATGTTTAATAATTTCATGCGTCCGAAGCACTTTTCTGGATTTACCTTCATCAGGAACGCTCAAAGCCAAACATTTGAAATCCGAGGATGTATAAGTACCGAAACCGTTGAAGAGCTGTATGACAAAAATACCTAAAATAAATATCCAAATTCATCTAAAGTCAACTTTGCCTGAGGGAGTTGAAACCTTAGTTTCTTAAAAATTTCAATATTTAAAAACGTACAATTTTAGAAAAGTTTGTTAAATCATGTCAGTACCGAAGTACTGACTACTGAGCTGATGATACCCTCGGGGACATATAAGTAATAAGACTGTTTCATTTGGTGTACAGAATCTCTGTGATATGTTCATGTCTGTATGAAAGGGTTCATCTGACCTTGACTTCATTTTCATAGATAATTGGTAATTTCAAGTTTATGTGATTACCTGTAGTATTAACCTTGATCTGAAATCCTTTAAGATAATGATTTTAATTTAGTATTTATGTCCATTTGACATGAAATTTTCTTCAGAATTCAACATGAATGGCAACCAAAAGGAGAGCAGAAAAAAACAGGAGGTGCAAACTTTCAGTTCCAGGGAAATGCATCAAGCACATGGACAGCACAGCCTATGGTGAGTAACCTACTTTAGTAGATCTTACCAATCACTTAGTGTTGATTATTACTTGTCAGTTAACTTCAAAATCACTATTGGGTAAATTTGAACTAAACATGGGCTATTAAATTAATTTCACAATTTCGGTCATTTTAAGATGACTTGAAAGTTGGGGTGCAATTTATGTTGATGCCATTTGTTAAAGGGAAACTTCACAAAAAAATAAAAAAATTGACATTATGTTCCTTTTGTATAAATGAACATAAATTTAACAATATAAACATTTTATTCTGCTGGATAAGTGAGAATAATTGATTTTTGGAAAGTTTGCTATAGCTTGATATAGCAATAAACTTTCCTATGGCATCGGCCTCAAACCGGAAGTTGGACAGACTATCTTACAATAGGATGTGTGTTCTACTACTAGATAATGTAGTACTAGTGTTTGAATACTAATTATAGGAAGATGCTTTTGAAATTTTGAGTTACTTCTATTTTGATAAGCTTACAGCTTGAATAAAAATGGACTAAATGTTCACCGACAATTCAAATGAATCCAACTTCATTTTGAAAATGGGTATCACAAACACTACTTCGCGGATCTGCCCTGCGCGGAAGATAAAATCAACACACACCAACACGAGGCAGCAGTTTCTATGTTTAATTCATTGAAAATTAAGAGGGCCTGATATTTATTTCGAGGTGTGTGTTGGTTTTTTTTATGCCCCTGCCATAGCGAGGGGGCATTAAGTTTTACCCTTGTCAGTCTGTATGTCCGTCCGTATGTCCGTACGTCCCAAAGTTGGTTTCCGTTCTCTAACTTTAGTTTGCCTCAACCAAATCTTATGAAACTTATACATAATGCTTATAACCACAAAACACAGATCAAGTTTGAATTTCATTGCCGTCACGGTAACGGTTCTAGAGTTATGCCCCTTTATAAACATAAAAATTGCTGAGTTTTTCGTTTCCGTTCTCTTACTTTTGTTTGCATTAACCAAATGTTATGAAACTTATACACAATGCTAATAACCACAAAACACAGATCAAGTTTGAATTTTGGTGGTGTCACTTTAACCGTTTTAGAGTTATGTTCCTTTATAAATGGAAAAATTGCAAAATTTTTAGTTTCCTTAACCAAATGTTATGAAACTTATACACAATGCTTATTACCACAAAACACAGATCAAGTTTAATTTTGGTGGCGTCACTTTAACCGTTCTAGAGTTATGCCCCTTTATAAATGGAAAGATTGCAAAATTTTTATTTTCTTCTAAATATCAAGTGATTTTTATACGCCCGTTTACGGGACGTATTATGGTATACCTCTGTCCGTCCGTCCGTCGTCAACATGTCGGACATTAACTCAAAAAAGCTTTAACCAATATGCATGAAACTTTGGTGAATTGTTTATATCTATTGACGTGAGCTCCCTTTTGTTTTTTATAAATTTCAGATTTACCGTTTCCGAGTTTTGGGGTTTTATTCATTAAAAAAGGGGGGATTTTCCAGTTTTTCCGACAATAACTCAAGAATGCTTTCACCAACTTGCAAGAAATTTTGGTGACAGAATGTGAAACAACCAATGGCCTGATTTATGCTCAAACAAAATAATAAATATGACAGACAGCAACCACAAAAATTACGGAATTTCAGATTCCTGACTTGAAACAGGTATATATATTTATGACTTTGACTTTTTATACGACCGCAAAAATTAAAAAATTTTTGGTCGTATATTGGTATGACGTCGACGTCCTCGTCGTCTGGTGTCGTCCGGCGTCGTCCGACACATTGGTTTTCGCACTCTAACTTTAGTTTAAGTGAATGGATCTCCATGAAATTTTACCATAAGGTTCAATACCACGAAAGGAAGGTTGGGATTGATTTTGGGGGTTATGGTACCAACAGTTAAGGAATTAGGGGCCAAAAAGGGGCCAAAAATAAGCATTTTTGTAACTTCCAGACAATAACTTGTGTGTAAGTGTATGGATCTCTCTGACATTGTACCACAAGGTTCCATATCACATAAGGAATGCTGGGATTGATTTTGGGGGTAATTGCCTCAAAATTTTAGGAATTAGGGGCCAAAAAAGGGGCAAAAAACAAGCATTTTTCTAGTTTCATGACAATAACTTGTGTGTAAGTGTTTGGATATTTCTAAAATTGTACTACAAGGTTCCATATCACAAAGGGAAAGCTGGAATTGAGTTTGGGGGTAATTGCCCGAAACGTTTAGGAATTGGGGGCCAAAAAGGGGCCAAAAATAAGCATTTTTCTAGTTTCCAGACAATAACTTGTGTTCAAGTGTATGGATCTCTCTGAAATTGTACTGCAAGGTACCATACCACAAAGGGAAGGCTGGTATTGAGTTTGGGGTGATGAATCATAAGGGGGTTCAAAAAATTTGGGAGGGGGATTTTTCGTTTTTCTTTTTTTTTTCATAATCCTTTTTTAGCTCACCTGACCTGAAAGGTCAAGTGAGCTTTTCTCATCACTTTGCGTCCGTCGTCCGTCGTCCTGCGTCCGTCGTCCGTCGTCCGTCGTCCGTAAACTTTTACAAAAATCTTCTCCTCTGAAACTACTGGGCCAAATTTGACCAAACTTGGCCACAATCATCATTGGGGTATCTAGTTTAAAAAATGTGTCCGGTGACCCGGCCAACCAACCAAGATGGCCGCCATGGCTAAAAATAGAACATAGGGGTAAAATGTAGATTTTGGCATATATCTCTGAAACCAAAGCATTTAGAGCAAATCTGACATGGGGTAAAATTGTTTATCAGGTCAAGATCTATCTGCCCTGAAATTTTCAGATGAATCGGACAATCCGTTGTTGGGTTGCTGCCCCTGAATTGCTAATTTTAAGGAAATTTTGCCGTTTTTGGTTATTATTTTGAATATTATTATAGATAGAGATAAACTGTAAACAGCAATAATGTTCAGCAAAGTAAGATCTACAAATAAGTCAACATGACCAAAATGGTCAGTTGACCCCTTAAGGAGTTATTGCCCTTTATAGTCAATTTTTAACCATTTTTCGTAAATTTTTGTAATCTTTTACAAAAATCTTCTCCTCTGAAACTACTAAGACAAATTTAACCAAACTTGTCCACAATCATCATTAGAGTATCTAGTTTAAAAAATGTGTCCGATGACCCCGCCCGCGAACCAAGATGGCCGACATGGCTAAAAAATAGTACATAGGGTAAAATGCAGTTTTTGGCTCATATCTCTGAAACCAAAGCATTTAGAGCAAATCTGATGTAGATAAAATTGTTCATTAGGTCAAGATCTATCTGCCCTGAAATTTTCAGACCAATCAGGCAACCCGTTGTTGGGTTGCTGCCCCTGAATTGGTAATTTTAAGGAAATTTTGCCGTTTTTGGTTATTATCTTGAATATTATTATAGATAGAGATAAACTGTAAACAGCAATAATGTTCAGCAAAGTAAGATCTACAAATAAGTCAACATGACCAAAATGGTCAGTTGACCCCTTAAGGAGTTATTGCCCTTTATAGTCAATTTTTAACCATTTTTCGTAAATTTTTGTTATCTTTTACAAAAATCTTCTCCTCTGAAACTACTAAGACAAATTTAACCAAACTTGTCCACAATCATCATTAGGGTATCTAGTTTAAAAAATGTGTCTGATGACCCTGCTCGCGAACCAAGATGGCCGACATGGCTAAAAAATAGTACATAGGGTAAAATGCAGTTTTTGGCTCATATCTCTGAAACCAAAGCAAATAGAGCAAATCTGATGAGATAAAATTGTTCATTAGGTCAAGATCTATCTGCCCTGAAATTTTCAGACCAATCAGGCAACCCGTTGTTGGGTTGCTGCCCCTGAATTGGTAATTTTAAGGAAATTTTGCCGTTTTTGGTTATTATCTTGAATATTATTATAGATAGAGATAAACTGTAAACAGCAATAATGTTCAGCAAAGTAAGATCTACAAATAAGTCAACATGACCAAAATGGTAAGGTTGACCCCTTAAGGAGTTGTTGCCCTTTATAGTCAATTTTTAACCATTTTTCGTAAATTTTTGTAATTTTTTACAAAAATCTTCTCCTCTGAAACTACTAAGACAAATTTAACCAAACTTGTCCACAATCATCATTAGGGTATCTAGTTTAAAAAATGTGTCCGATGACCCCGCCCGCGAACCAAGATGGCCGACATGGCTAAAAAATAGTACATAGGGTAAAATGCAGTTTTTGGCTCATATCTCTGAAACCAAAGCATTTAGAGCAAATCTGATGAGGATAAAATTGTTCATTAGGTCAAGATCTATCTGCCCTGAAATTTTCAGACCAATCAGGCAACACGTTGTTGGGTTGCTGCCCCTGAATTGGTAATTTTAAGAAAATTTTGCAGCTTTTGGTTATTATCTTGAATATTATTATAGATAGAGATAAACTGTAAACAGCAATAATGTACAGCAAAGTTAGATCTACAAATAAGGCAACATGACCAAAATTGTCAATTGACCCCTTAAGGAGTTATTGCCCTTTATAGTCAATTTTTTACAATTTTCATAAATTTTGTAAATTTTTGTAAATTTTTACTAAGTATTTTCCACTGTAATTACCGGGCCAAGTTCATTATAGATAGAGATAGTAGTAAGGAGCAAGAATGTTCAGTAAAGTAAGATCTACAAACACATCACCATCACCAAAACACAATTTTGTCATGAATCCATCTGTGTCCTTTGTTGAATATGCACATAGACCAAGGTGAGCGACACAGGCTCTTTAGAGCCTCTAGTTTTTTCTTTTAAAATTTTCCATTTTAAGTTGGTTATTTCTGATTAATATTTAAAAGCAAGTAATAATGATATGGTAGGAGATACACACCAAACAGGATGTGTAAATTATTATATAATAAGTATTGTGCAATAGCAAGAAATTTTCAATTGCACAGTATTGCACAATAGCAAGAAATCTTCAATTGCACAGTATTGTGCAATAGCAAGAAATCTTCAATTGCACAGTATTGCGCAATAGCAAGAA